AGCTACAGAACGTGATCCTGAAGTAAGTTCTTACTCTCTCTCTTTTATTGCCCGGTTTTTTAAAAATTACAGTGTTTAATTCTTTGGTTTACCTGTACCAGCTTCTTGTCACGTATCCTCGCCCACGGCAGCCAGAGTTTGAATTGGGTGGTCCTGTTGACATACATGTTTGCCATATGGAGAGGCTTCTTGTATCTGGCTTTGCTTTCACTAAATCTGTCTGGCATGGTGGGTATGCTTCCCTACCTCTCATGTCTGCTCCCCGTAAGCGAAAAACAGCCCCCTCTGACTCTGAAACATGTAGCACCGACTCTGATGATGGAGGTCCTCCTACCACCCATTGTAGATCAAAGAAGACGTCAACCAGCCACCAAGCGGTTGAAAAAATTGTTGAAAAACAATTGCGGCAGTTTAAAGAGTCTCTACTTGTAGAAATGCAGCAGATGCTTCACCCTAAACCCTGTAAAGGTGACGTTCAGTCAGAAAAGGCTAGTTCCTCAACTGTCTGTGGACGCATTTCTCCCATACCTGCACGTGTTACCCGCTCTGCTGGTGATGCTAACTCGGATAACTCATCGTCTGAACGTTCTACGATCCATCCAAAGCCTCAGTCGGAGAAGTCAGAGGAAGATGGTAATCTGTTTTCGCCTTCTACCAAGATGGATAGTCCAAAAGCTGGAGATACCCCTGCTAATCCTTCATGTCCCCTCCTGCGTTCTGAGGTTATTTTGCAATTACCGTCCCTTACTGGTACCGTTTACTGTTATCTTTTTCTCTCTGACTTATTACCCATTAGGAACAGCAAAGCTCCCGTCCCGTACTGCAAGCACACTGCAACCCTGTTGGTACCTTTGTCCCACCGTCAAGTCCTGCCAAACCGGTAACTGCTTCTGGTACCACTAAAATGGTATTTCCGACTTTCACTGTTGCTTCTGATTCACTCAGTGTACAACATTCACTCAGTGTACAACCAAGTTCCTTATCTGATTACATATTTTTATCAGAACTCGAGTCGGCGTATTTCTTTTATTTGGGAAACAAAATCATACACCTCAAACGGTGCACAGGTGGATCCTTCTGTGCAGCAAACAAGTGCCTTTGAGTTCCCTAAACATTCCTTGACTCCACTCCCTTCTATGACTGCTGCCGTAATTAGCGTACCCTCTAAAGTCACCATTTCCATTCTTCGTCCTTAGCTTATTGTCCTCGCCATTTCTCTTCACTGATATTTGTCTTCTTCGCAGGTTCACTCACCAAAAGGGACTACTAAACATACATCTATACTCACTTCTCCGTCTCCTACTCCAATTATATCTCCAACTCCGCCATCAAACGGTACAGATACATTGGACACTGACTGTGGCTCCTTCCCTAAAACATCTGACATGGGACCTCAGTCTGCACCATCTCTCCAGACCTCCACCTCTCCCAGTCGTCCTGTTGGCCCCTATTTGGCTTTTAAGGCACGTGGCTCGAAGTTTGCCAGTAGTATTTCCGCTATGAAATCAGATACGACCCCGGTAATAATTACTGGCCCTGCCATGAACCTTCGCTCCAGACATCTTGCCACTGACCCTGTTGTTAAGGATTGCTCTGCCTCCATTCTGTCAACACTTGGGAAAAATAACAAAGCGCTCATTGCAAAGTTAATGACCAAACTTCGCTCCTTTTCTGGCAGGTTTGCTCTAAGCCCTTCTTTAGCCTACTAAAATGTTTTCTCTGCTTATGTATCAGAAACTTTAAGTTCTGCATTTTTCGTCGCAGTCAGTACACACTTGCTGGTCACACATACCCATCCTCCTTCTTCTTTGACCTTTCCAAACCTCAGCATTGGGTCTCTAACTTGGTTAGTTTCTACCCTTCCTATTCAATCCAGAAACCTTTATGCTGACTTCTCTTTTATCAGCACCCAAATAATAATAAAGTACCCCTTTGTTTTGACATCCAGCACATTGATTTGTTGGTTGACTTTGCTTGGAAACAACATGGTGCCTACCTTGCAAAACGCAGAATCACTATCCTTGACTCTATGTTTACTACAATCATAACCAACAAGTTTATGAGTTTTAGTCAGCACTCCCCTTCATCCTCGTTTGTATGGAACCCGTTGCTTAAAGCCTATGTTGAAGGTCGTGTTGCGGGTCGTTCAGAGAAACTGAACTTGGTAACTGATATTGATACTCTCTACATTCCAATGAATTGGGGTAAGAAACATTGGGTTGCCTTAGCAGTTGATCTCATAAAAGGTCATATCACCATCCTTGACCCATTTGAAGACTGCACTCCTGCAAGAAAAGTCCCTGGATACATGAATGGCCTTTGTCAGATGCTTCCGTCGCTACTGTCCTCGGTCATTGGTGAGCTGCCAACCACTTGGCCGTCCGCTTCCTTCACATACATGCGCCTGCCTGGTCTGCCACAGAATTCTCGTGGTGGTGACTGTGGCCCAATTTCTGTTAAGCTGATGGAGCTTCACTCTCATGGTCTTACTAACGCATTTACGAAACTTACCCCTGATGCAGTTGATAACATCCGGATGCGCTATGCGCTAGACATGTATGGAGAGTATGTCTCTCCACTTTAAACTCCTGCCTGTATTGCCAAAATGATCCTCCTACTGTCATTTCCTCCGTTTTATTTGCATTCACTTACCTTTCTGTGTATTTATACTTCACATTGGTTAATCTTTGAGTTTTCTCAGTTTTAAAGACCCATTCTAATCACTTACCGTCCAAATATATCAGTTCTTATATTTGTGTTAATGCTTATTTATACATGTTACTTGTTTTATTAACCAAACCTCTTCCCAACTGTACTACCATATCTATTAAACTGCCTTTACTCACCCCCACCTGATTTCGCCATTCCTATTTAACTCCATTTTGCAAGGTAATAGGAACTTATGTCTATTCATCAATGGAAACTTTAGATTTTCATGTTGCTCTTGAAATTGCTTCAAGGGTTGGTGCATCTTCATTTATAGATCTAGGAGGTATGATTTTGACTTCCAAATACTACCACAGCTTAGCCTACAACTCAGAGGTCCTTTCCTCAGTTACCCTCCAACCTCTGCTTTCAGATGCTTCTCTTCTTAATCTTGAATCTCCATACCGCCACTTCTTTCGTCATTGCCTAGCAGCTAACAATCCTACTGCAGTTTATCTTGAGAGCCTCCGATTAGCTGCCAAAGAAGGTCGCGCCGAAGATGGTCTCCGCTTGTTAAGCGTTGATACAACGCCTCTGCCTCATTCAGTATTCACTAAAGCGTTGCTTCTGCTTTGTCTAGGTTTTTACCGACAAGCTATTGAAACAAATTGGACTTTCGTTTCTCTTGTTGGTTCATTTCAAGCAGCAGATCAGGTGGCCAGTGAGGTCTTCCACCACATAATGCAGCTTCGTCCTGTTAAGAAGCGGTCTCATGCCAACACCTGGAAATATCCTGACATCCCAGCCTGTCTTCGGAGTGGATGCAGAATAGATAACCGTTGTTCTTTGTGTTTTTTCTACTGGTTTGGTGTTATGTATCTACTTCTCTGTTAAGCCAAAACTGTTCAATTGGTACGCAGAAGTAGCCAACATGTATGTCTCTTTATTTTAAGTCTATTCATACCTAACAAGTGTATCCATATAGCTATTATGTATCTTCTCTGTATTAAGTATAGCACTGTTCTCATTTTAACTAACAAGTGGCTCAATTTATATCTCTGACTTACCTTTATTACACTGCTTCCTCATTTACTGTCTACCATCTGGCCACTCTTCATTTGCTTAGCTTTATACAGTCACCACCCCTACAACCCCTACTCAATCTTCTTCCACACGCTTTGTCCCTGTTACAGCTGAACCAATAAATGTAGCACCCACAACACGCTTTTTCTCTCCATGATATATACCACCAACGACCAGGCCATTTACGTCTTACCTATCACCTTCAAATCTACGCAAACCAGACATGGATACCATTCCACACCCTCTACTTATCGACATTGTGAGGCGTCTGGGACACCATGGTTTTCGAGAACTAGGCTCTTTGATTGCTGCTGGTCATTACTGCAACTCCCTAGCCTTGGACGAGGTTGTGCTCAATGAGGTGGACATAGACGAGTTGTTATTTGTCAGCGGCCACGCAAATGAAGGTTCGGTCTACCGGCCTTTTCTGCTTAGATGTTTGGAAGCTGGTAACGCAACTGCCATGTATGTAGAGGGCCTCCGACTTGCAGCACAAAGAGGACCTTCCCAGGAAGCAATTCATCTTATTGGTGGAGCGGCTTCTGAAATAATTTATGCACGGTTTGCTCTTGGAGTTGTTCTTGTGTGCCATGGCTCCTACGAGGAAGCGATGGAGGTCGTTAACTCTTTCTTTTCTCTCATGCCAAGCGTTGAAGAAGCTGTTGACATCGCAGAGATGGTTATTAGGCAAGTTGTTGACATGGACTTCGAGAGGGTTGGCCGCTACGAGCACACATTTAGCTTTGGGGGTGCTACACCTTACTGTTATGTTAACAATGTCGCAGTTGTTCAGCTATGCCGGAAATGTTTCCTTTATAGTTATGCTAGACGTTTTCTAGCCCTATGTTAACAGTCGTTTCCATGTTTCTTTCTTTCTGAATGCACGCTTTCATGGTTTAATAAAGGGCACGCAGCAGTTGTCATTCATATTCAAAGTTCCAAGTACATAGCCTTGTTTACAAAAAAGGGAAACACATACCTATTACACGCCAATATGGAGTTTTAACCCCACAAACCCAGCTTTTAAACTGCCAAATGCAATTTAAGCTAAAACAGGCACATAGATATTACATGACAATACCGAGATTTAACACCATCTTCCCAACTTTCTAACTACCAAATGCAGTTTAAGTTAAAAACAGACACCTAGAAATGCTTTGCAATGATATCTACATGTTTTGCATTGCAAAGTCACCAAAAAACTTGGGCTTCTTTACCATACTTGCTGAACAACTCCTTCCCGCTCCAGTTCTTCAAACCGCTTTTGGTAATACATCAAACCTTGTTCACCAGACAACAAAAAACCTTCTCCATGACAACCTTTATCTGCTTCATCACAACGCCCCCAAAAAACTGTTGTGCAACCAGACACCTGCAGTTTCAAATTCAAGTTTTCAACTGAACAGCTAATATATATTCACAACAGTTCATCCATAAAAGTCAGAGATTCCATACTTTATGGAAGCACATTAGAGCAAGTTGCTCTGTTATGCCCTGTTTTCAAGCAGCTTGAACACTTGTGTGGTCCACTCTTCCTTCTCTTTGCAGCCTGCAAAGAAATAAAATGGTTAACTCTTTTGCAACTTAAGGTTAGTACATGTACAGGTAATCATATAGGTTAGCTTTACTACCGTGAATTCACCGGCTGATGGGATCCTCTTTTTCTTGCGCCGGCCTGGCCCATTTGGATTAATAGGTGGAATGAATTGAGTCTGCTCCACCACTGCTGGAATTACCTCATCACATTGATTAGGGACAGGGAATATGTATTCTGCATATGCTTCACAAAATGTTGCAAGTGTGTAGTGAGAAGATATGAGTGCTGGAACATAAATTCCCCTTAGCCTTGCAGCAGCCAAAGCGTGGCTACAGGGGATTTCCAGTTTCTGGAACAATAAGCAGGTGCACGTTTTCTTCTCAAGGTCAACATAGTAATTCTTCTTGCCATCACCAACTTGGGAACTCATTGCTGACACAGGTTTCACAGGCATACCAGCGGAGTCAGCCTGGTATCGAAGAAGGAGCTTGTTAACATTTGGAGTGATAGGATCTGGAAAAACAGATAGTCTTTTTCCTTTCTCCCTCCGTAGGCAAAACCACTCCATTAGTTTAGTCCTTATAGACTCGACGATAGAAAGAATAGGTAGCTCAACAATCTTTGCAAGCGCACCATTAAGGGCCTCCGCAATATTTGAGCTCATGATATTGTATCTCTTTGCAGGACAATAGGCCTGAGTCCAGTGCTCACGCGGGATGACGTCCAAATAGGCTGCACACTTGTGGTCTCTCTTTACTATCTCCTTAAACCACTCCTCAAAGTCGCCAACATTAAAAGCCCGTGCGGCTTTTGCAACAAGGCCTGCAACACCGGTTCCATGGCAATTACTCCTCACATTCCTCACTAAATGAACAGCACAAGCACCATGAAACGCTAGTGGATAAATGTGGCGCTTTGCAGCATAGATTGACCTATGCCGGTCAGAAACAATAACCAGATCCTCAGCGTCTGGCAGCAACAGGCTCAACTGCCTCAAAAACCATGTCCACGCCAGCTCATTCTCACTATCTACTATTCCAAAGCCAATGGGAAAGACTTGCATATTGGCGTCCTGCATACTTGCAGTCAGTAACACCCCTTTAAATTTGGACTTGATAGCTGTTCCGTCAATAAGCACAGCCCTTCGCATGGTCCTTATCCCAGCAATACTCGCCCCAAGTGAGAAAAAAAGATACTTAAACTGCTTCACTCCATTTACAGCTTTTGTGTATTCAAGCTTGTAGACAGTTCCTGGATTTCCTTTTTGCAGTAAATGCATATACACACCAAGTAGCTCATAGCTGCGCTCGTCACTACCCCGGCTTGCAAAAACAGCAGCTTCTTTTGCATACCACGCCTTCATATAGTTAATAGAAACTTTGAGCTCCTGTAATACAATATCCGGGATATCAACAGCTCGAGGACCAGGTAACCCATTTGCATACCTATCCTTAAGAACTTCAGCAATCACCTTTGCTGACGCTTGCTTACCATATTGGGACCTTGCTGTTATAGAACAAGTGTGTGTCAATGTACATGTCCGAATCTCAAAGTTCTCTGAGAATGGCGATACAACACGGGCAAACACTCTCCACGGACAATGCTGATCAACACAAACAAAAATCAGCCTTTCGGTGTCAGATTTGGTTTGTCTGAAATGGAACAATCTCTTGATTGCATATATGGCAAGCGTATTCTGCACATCAACTTTGTTTTTAAACACGCGGCCTCTATAAATAACATCTCCTTCAGCAGAATCATTGTCAGACCCTTCAGTGGCTGTAACTTCATATATGTCATCATAGACAGGGGCCGCATCTTCTCTTTGCGTAAGCTCAGGCATGCCATTGTCTATTTCACTTGCTTGGGTAGTTGCAGGTATGGCAGGAACATCAGTGGGAGCTGGCCTTATATTTGGAGTCACACCTGCTACTGTATTAAGATCAATCTCTTCGTTAGCTGTTCCTTGTGTCACATATGTTAACACAGCAGCACCAACATCTACATCATCTCCTGCTGGAACAGACAACCTTTCACCAACAAGCACAGAAGGTTCACCAACTTCAAGCAACGGCGAAGGCCAATGCAAAGGATATTGTTGATCAAACAAATCAATCCAGTACTGCGAGTCCTCCTGTTGATCATCATCTGATCCTGATCCAACAACACCATCCGTATGCGAATCTCCAGAGTCAATATAAACAAGATCTTCAGCACCCTGAATTGCCTTTCCTTTATCAGCACAGCGAAGGCGCTCCTGCTCTTCAAATTCTTCAACTGCCTGCAGCGCTGCCTGATCCTCACTCATACTCTCATTCTCCTCGACAGCCTCAGCAAAAAGAAGATATCCTTCAGAAGACGCAGAGAGAGACGGTGTCTGAGAATCACCAAGTCTAATCAGCCCACTATCATCAACACCAGGGAGCAGGCCTACCCCAGTCACCAGCGGATCATTTCTCTGCAAATCAGACGCTTCACTATTGGATGCTACTAAGAGGAATCTGACTGCATCAGTCTGTCCATCATCATCAAACAGCCTTCTCCTAACACCACTCACATTGTTGACTTCACTTCTATTAGTCCCACCAGTTTCTAAACCATACCTTCGCAAGAAGTCAGAACCACCACCTTCAGGTACACTCCCTTTGCCTCTTTCCGAGGCCAGTGAGTAGTTAGACCTAATTACCACTGATCTGTTTTCCGCAGGTTGAGGCTCAAGGGATAGCAACAAGTTAATATGAACTGCAGTGTTCCTAACTTCCAGAAAATTCCTTATACTCATACTGCTTGTAATAATTACTGGCGGCCTAGTATTAACCGAAAAAACAGAGAGTTGTGATGGAAGCCAGTAGCTAAGCTTTGGTCTGAGCTGCATACACTACAAAAAAAGTGTGCATTGATAGCATATTAGGATAGCACGGATTTTGCAAATGCTATTAAAGATGATATCGAGGGATTTGTAACTATATCGTAGCATTGAAAAATGCTAAGCCCTATAATAGCAAAGAAGAGACGTAGAATCACTTATGACCGCCAAAATTTAGCAAATATTTCACAAAAACCGCTTAACACTTTAGCAAAAAAATTTTTTTTTTTAAATTATTAAGAGACAACCCTAATTTCTATCTTCTTCTCCTTCATCGTTCTCTCCTCCTATACCTCTCTATTCTTCTTTTCTCCTCTCTCGCTTACTCTCTTCCTCTGATTATGCAACCCTAGATCTATTAGATTTTATCAGTTTCGCTTCAGATTTCAGATCCATTATCTCTTTGTCACCCTCGCTTTCATCCCCAAATTTATCTTATTCTTCTTCAATTTGATGAAAACTTCAGTCTCCATCTTCGTCGGTGGTCTGAGATAGCCTTAAACCATAAATTTAATTTCGGTGGCTGAAACGTAGGTGAAACCCAAACCATCTTCGTCGCTTGGTTCTTCGTAGCTGAAAGGTTTCTCGATCAATTGCTTAATCCTTCTCGCTCCGACTCCCATCTTTCTCTTTCTCTCGGCTCCATATGTACGATTTTGTTAGGATTCACTAGATTTATTAGCAATTGTAGATGAATTTGGGTTAGATTGATTTAGCAGTGAGATAATGATTTCGATTTAGAAAGCAAAAAGTCTCCATCGAGTTCTTCTAGTGAGTTTTTACATATCTATTTTCATACATCATAGAACTCTCCCTTTTTCTACTCTAATATCTTACTTGTTTCCCAGATACAATGAATCCTCAAATACTTCCAGAGCTCTTTTCCATTTAGTGAGAGTGGCAAGAGAGCAAAGCTCAAGAAATAACCAAGAGAGGTCTGTCTTTCCGCTTTTTCTTTGTTTTTTTTTCAATGAACATGATGGAGTCTTTACTCACGTAGTTCTTAGGATTCAAGCAAACCATGCCTTATTTATGGACTGTCGCAATGTCTCCTCTTTGGTATATATGTGCAGTCTTTGAAAAATGTTTGCAATTGTTCATGTTTACTCTATTAAGATGTCGTTACTTTTCTCGTTTTCTCATTGCTGCTTCAAATGGTTCATGTGTACTCTATTAAGATTTGTTAGGATGTGATCTTTAAGAATTTAATTTGGTTACTTTAGTCTAGGTTGTTGCGACTTAGATAACGATTACTCTACAGATTTGTAATGTTAATGGTAATGTTTCATACTTGATCCTTTATTGGAGTCTGTTTTTTATGGCTTCTGATGATTGTGGAAGTGGAAATAGCTTTCCAGATTGATGGCTGCAGGTTTTGATTTTCTGTTACAGGTTTTAGTTTATGAATTTTCAGGTTTTGGTTTCTAAATTTGCAAGTTTTGGTTGTCTAAGTCACAAGTTTTGGGTTTCTCTGGTTAGCTACTACATTTTTATTTCATACACACGTTATTTTCCTTAACTTACATGGGTTCTGTTTTTGACAGTGAAGGGACAAAAGGTTAATACTAGTCCTAGCTAGTAATTGTACTCTCATGTGCTTGGATTCATTGAGAAAGCAGGAGATAAAGAAAGGCTTTTGAAGTGGAGTTTGAGTGATACCTGGAATGGGTATAGATTCTTACTATCACTTAATCTTGTTTAGATCTGTTTCTCGTCTTGTGTGTTATATACGTATAATCTAATCTTTTGTGTATTTAGCAATCACAAATGTGGTAACAATCTCTACGATCCTGAAGCACACTGGACTAGCAACATAGAAGAGTAAGTAAAATTTCCTTTCTTATCATCAACGTTTATTTTTTGTAAATCATAATTCAGTAATCTGTTTTCCCTTTGTTCCATGTTTGCCAACAGAGGTGTTAACGTTGTTGACTGTGGGAATGAAAGACAAGAACAAAGGAAGCATGGTCCAGAAGGCTAAGGCAAGTTTCTTTTAATATTTTTTTAAGGCTGGTGAATAAGCTACAACAGAAGCTGTTTAGGTCATTGGATTGTCTTTGAAGTCTGATGCTAAAAAGACCATCATGAATCTCAGGTTCCCTCTTTTTCTCACGGTTTTCTAGCCATTATCTTGTAGAAGTAATTGAGAAAGTCACTTGCTTTTACTCATACAAAGACATCCAACTTCAAAAAGAGAACTGAACTGCAGAGGATATAGAGAAGGCAGTGAAATGAGAATTGCTTGGAATGAGACATCATCTTAAGTCCTTGGAGGGAGGGAAAGAGCAAACCAATGGAGTTCTTTGTTTAGTCCATCTGAATTGCAGTACTTATGACGTTGTTTATGACCTTTGTTTTTATAACAAATGGTGTTAAATGCTGAACTATTTTGTAAAATTACAATTATGTATTTTTTGATGATCTATGAAAAGAAACGTGCTTTCAACAAATTGGTTTTGTAGCATATAATTATTTGGATTTTAAATTTATAGATTTAAAATAATTTTGCAATTCATCATTTTATAATGTAGCACATAAAAATAGCTACACAAAAATATAATATAGCAAAAAATATGAGTTATAAAAAATTATATTAAAGCATTCGATTAGTGCTATACTAGAAGGACTTATAATAGCACGACAAAAAATGCTTTTGTATGGGTGATACCTACTATAGCTGCCGAGAACATAGCGTTTGTGAATTCGCTATCTATAACGTAAGATAGCATATTTTTAGCGCTATCAATGAATAAATTTCTTGTAGTGATACCTTCAAGCTCGAATTCCGATCTGATTTTCGACAAGAGATCTTCATAAGTCATACTCATTTGCATTGAAATGCTCCGCCCATAACACTCTTTAGCGATGACAAAGTCCCAGATTCCCTTCACGCAACATTCCCAGCTCCCAGCAATAACAAAGACAGGAACTTCCTCCACCTGTCGAACAAAAAAACTACCGATTATAAATCCAAACATTTGCACTCAAACAACTATAAAGACAGCATTACACGGAAAACCGTACCTCTCCCGCCATTGATTTACAGTGCAAATTCGTCTACCAGTTTGCTGTTCTTCCTTGTTTTCGCTTCTCAGATTTCTTCCCAAAGAGAAACTAGGTTTCTTTGTACACAGATAGGTCATTACTTTATAATATCCACAAAATTTACTGCCATTAGTCTCATCCAAATAAAACTTAAATCTACGCAATCTGAACCGCTGATGTCGTCTCGTCCACAGGAGCAATCGTCCCATCCTGTTCAGAAGCGTTTGAAAAAAAAAAATTCAACTTTCAGTTTTCCCCCCAAAACGCAGGCAACAGCGAGGAGGACAAATTTGGTATTTCCGCATGCCCAATAATGGCATAGTTGAAAGCCCATTTAAAAATGGCAAATTTTAAAAATGGCAGCCCAAAAAGGATTTTTTCAGTAATAACCCCATCAACACAAACAACAACCAAAACTATACACAACTAATTCTTCCTTTATTAAAAAACATAAATAACAAAAATATTTAACCCGCGGTGTACCGCGGGTCATATCCTAGTTTAAGCAACAAAAAATTAGAACATGTGAAAAGACGTCGATCGAATGGATACTAATCTATTCGACGTCGTTTGACATGATTCCATCTTTAAGTCGCCTAAGTTAATATTTTGGTTCTATAAAAGGATCCAATTCACATATTTTTACGTGTTCATCATATCCGCCGTATTTTTCTGTTACAAACATAGCGAATACATATCCTATGAAAGTTTGGAATTATTCGATCGCATCAATGAAGAAACCTCAAATCCGATTACATTCTTTTGCAAAGGTATATGCTAATAAAACGTAGTTTAAGATCTTTTACATTCATTCAGTTTTATTTGAATTCTTTTAAATATTTGCATAACTTTTTGGTTTTCTTATTACTAATACTCATTCATTATCTTACTATTAGTTTGATTGCTTGATGGTTTTTATTTTGACTCATGAATTTTCAATGAAAAGAAAAAAGAATTCATAGTGGTACAAAATCATCTAATTTTCCCAATTTAATATAAAGCATCTTCAACAAAATAACATAATTTGATAAATGTACACTATATTTAGAGGTGGAAATATTATATGAGATCTAAGCCAATCTGATCCGAATTATGATATATGAAACTTCCGGATCTGGATCCAAATATTTTAATATTGAAAAACAAGATATTTAGATCCATGTCCGATCTACTTCGAAATTTAATTTTCTTAAATGGTAAACATAATTTATAAAAATATTTTGTGGTACCTTTGAAAAGAAAAGAAAATTGTTTGGTATTTTTAAGTATAGCCCTAATAAATTTGTTATGTTTTAAAATGTTTATAATATATATATATATATATATATATATAGAATATATAATAGATGAAAAATTTGATATAATTTAATTTTAATATAATTATTCAAAAGTTTATAAAGAGAAAATATATTGAAAAGTCTCACAGATCGTATCCTTTTTGTATTTTTCAATTTTATGCTATTTCTCTTATTTGTCTAGAACTTGAGATTTTTAGAAACAAAATATTTTTTGTCCAAAAAAAAAACAAAGAAAGAAACAAACTATTTATTTACTTTTTTTGTAAATAAATTTCCATGAAAAAATAAATAAAAAATATATTTTGACTGAAATTTATCTAATATAATGGTAAAATGAAGAAAACTTATTTATTTTTATTTTATTTGTATAATAAGATTATAGAATATTAAATTAAGAAAGAATCTTTAGATTTGGTCAAATCATGTAACACAGTTAATGGTGATTAGATTTTTAGATTTGGTCATAATCTAAAGATTCTTTCTTAATTTATTATTCAACCATCTTATTATATATGTCAAATAAAATATTACATTTTCTTCCTTTTACCATTTTATTATACTGTATAAGTTTTT